CTAGTACATTATGGTACAAAAATAACATCCCGTTTGCTTGGTCAAATGAAATTGAAAAATAAAATGGGCAAAATTTTTTTTAAACTCACCAGCACCTATGAATGGGAAACGATTGGAAACCGACGACATCAAACTCTGTGATGAATTAAAACTTTTTGAAAAAAAAAAAAAAAATTAACCGTTCAACTGAAACAAACAAAACGAGATGTTGATTCGGTTCATATGAGTAGGAGCACTATCAAGCAGTAACTAAAATAAAACGTGCGGCGACCCGAACAACATCAACAGAATTTCATCACATTACCTGTCATAAGCAGCTCGAAAGAGCAAGTATATACCTTGCCTCCGACAGCAAGGGGTACTGCAAACAAGTAGAACAAGTCAGCGTGTGGTCGGACCGGCCGATCGAGCTTTTACCCGTTCCACTGCTCGCAGCTTCTGTTGTAGCGAAATCGAAACCAAACGGGGGCTGGGAAGGGGGCAGGCATCAAGGCTAATTTTCTATTCCACGTAGGCGCATAATCGACACTTGGCGTGCGCGCGACCCCCCCCCCCCCCCTCCAAGCTCTGCCAGGCTGGCTGTGTTATACTAACAGCAGCGCTGGGTCGTGCAAAAAAGAGAGTCAGAAAAAAAAAAAAGTCTGATCCAACTCTGGAAGGAAATAAAAGGCACATAGGGATACGTACCTCAAAGGGTCATGGATTTATTCGATAGGGGACCCTGCTGAAACCCATCCTACTCGCGTGTATATATAATATCTCGTTGGACCTCTCGGGATCGGGAGAGCTCTAAATAATGCAATCCAACTATTCGTTGCGTTTCAATGGCCCTTGGGTTTGCCGTCGTTTGTCCGTACAACGATAAAAACAATAAAAAAAAAATAAAAAAAACCCCCATGTTTGACAAGGACACTCCCGAGAGATCGAGCGCCAAACGGTACAATCTCGGAAACAAGCGAATAAGCTTTGCTCTCTCGTAGGTATATATGTAAGGCGAGGGAGAGGAGGTTGCCCTCCGGCGCTGACCTGCCGAGTTCTGCCGGCTGCGAAGGTATAGGAAGAGGGGGATGGGGCCACCGAGAAAGCCCTTGAAATCAATAGCCAGACCAACCTGCCGCTGCACCTCTCTCTCTCTCTCTCTCACCTGACTTTGCGCGTTACGTGGACACGTATACTCATTCTTCCCTGTTCCACTCGGCTACACCACCAAGGCATTCCCCCTACCCCTCGGTGGTTGCGTCTAATGCGCCTACACGTGCCTCCGTCCGGCCTCTTCCCGTGTAGAGAGGGTGCATCCCGTGCGTCGTCTTCGTCATTTCAGCACCACCTGCGGAATGAGGCTGTATACGAGCCGGGAGTCGAGGCCTCGAGCTCAAAGACGTTGGCGCCGCGTAGCGTGAGTCTCGTCGACAATGCGGTTGACGGGCCAACGTTTGCCGACAATCGATGCGTCATTGTTTATCATCGGGGCGTGAGTTTTGCCCGAGGTACGAGCGGTCCTGGAAAGTATACAGCCGAGGAATTCAAATATTTAATCCCAAGCTCCTTCACTCCACGGCTATCTTGCAATTGTAACACTAAAACCCGCAACTACGTATAACACGAGAGGCAAATTAATTTGAGTTAATGAATTGCAGGATTACGCGGTGAGCTTGTAAGTCACGGTGCAATGGGGTTGCAGTAGCTCATTGGGCAAGGCTTGTATATACATCTAAAAGGATGTAATTTGTTACCACGCTCGGTATGAGAGCTTTCAAAATTTTTTTTTTTTTTTTTTCTAATTTTTATTTTAGGACATCAAACTTATCTTTCGACCTCTCATATTTTAGAGTTACGTGTATGCACCACATGTATATGAAACTTCGTGTCGAATCAGTGTTTAACTTGTTCTTTTTTTTTTTTTTTTTTTTTTTTTTTTTTTTTTTTTTTTTTTTTTTTTTTTTTTTTT